ATTATATTATATACTATGTATTAAATTATGTATATTATTAAGAACAATTTAAGTATAGTATATATGAGGTACTTAAATATGCTTTGTCGTGTCACATATAAATTAATAGTACATACATATCGTGTGTCCCAAAATTCACGCAAAAGGTAATTTTGATAAAAGACAGTTTTTAATTAAAAATTGTAAATATTACTCAACAACGAAAACTCGTTGTTCTTTCGTGTAGTGTACTATTTTTAATAGCCCTGAATTGTCAGCTGTCACGCAGTCTTTTTTTCTTGTTGGCAACACTTTAGAATTTTGGGACTTACGTGAAGTTGGATCAATATACAATGCTTAAATAGTATTTTACTTTCTAGGTTTCCTTTTTATTTCAGTTATTATATAATACATTAGTAGATATATCCGTATATAGTACCTATGTTGTATTTCATTTCCTCCAAAATTAAGTATTTTATGCAACTAACAAAAGAACATGTACTCCCCTTAGTAATATTTGTAAGGATATATATTTATTTAAATTATATCGTAATATCGATAAATTAAGTTTAAATTAATATTATGATGATCAGTGTTAAAAGTATGATCGATTATATTAATAAATAATTCAGTTTCTATTTCCTTTAAATCGCAATCAAATAATTGTCATGTAGTAACTGTAACGATTCAGATTATTGCATCGTTGACAAAATCATTTATCACGAAATAACCGGAAGAATATGACGCATGCAAGTGTCAAACGTTTTTCTCGAAGTCTTTTTGCGACGTATACTTAAAATCATTATCTTACACGTTTCGTATTTTTGCAATCCTCGATAAACTTACGGATTAAAGGGCTAACGGAAAATGTTAGACTTTAATTGCGTCAATGGATTTCGTGGAAATTCATTCTCAACTCGATCCATTGAATTTTTCTTTTCTTGTCGGTTTTCCAATAAAGTTAATGCTCTTATCAGATTTTCATTGTATATACACACATACATAGACAATTAATCCAGATAATTCTGCGTTTAAGTGCATCATAGAGTATGCATATGCATATTACTGTTTATTTTAGATATTACCTAACCTGTCATTCTCGAATAGCGATGACAAATCAATGACACGCGACAAAATGTTGCGAGCGCACGATGAATTTCACAATATCAGAGTATCAATGTATAATTGGACTTCCGATGAAGCTGGCTGCATTGCTTGCGAAACGTTAGGATATTTCTTTCACAATTAACGACTTATACTCAAAGGTCACATCGTTAATAAATTTCACGATAAATTTCAGTTTTATTGAACTTTTCAACGATATTATTAAATTCGCAATATCATCGAATATCAAATTTACAGCGTTATTATAATCGTCATTCTCCTATTTTAAATAATATTTTGAAAGCGACCGATATGGTGTATCCTGGACAGGACCGTGTCTCGGTTATTACAATTTCGATACGTTAAGAGTTTGCAATTCGCGACGTTGCCGCGCTCAACGCTGAACGGCATCGAAATTTCGAATGTACCACGTCAGAGCGTCAGATTTACGGAGCAGTTTATTAAATACCACACGCAAACCAGACAATCGAAGAGGGTACGATCAAATTCGTACATACCGCGGCACTATGTTGCTTTATCAACGACAGATCGATCGTATCGCCGCGAACGGAGCTGTCCAAACAATTCCGTCAGACTTTTATCACAGGATGCTTAGCGGTGCCTGTCGACAATCGTTCATACGTGGTTCAATAACTTCTGAACCATCGCGTATACGTCCCCGTGTTTAAACAGAAAGCAAGCAAAAGAGGCGAGACAAATACGTTAAACAACCTTAAACGTCTGTCACTGAAATTTACAGGCGGTTTAAATCACGACTGTTTCAGCGTTATATCGTCACGACTCGTGAACGAAATCGAATCGCAAATGCATTTCAACGTGAAGCAAGCAATGCGACGTTGGGCGTTCGGCGACATCTCGCGAGACCCGAGACGCTTTATTTGCGACCACGGTGCTATGAAGTGGATTTGGAACCCACCACTCGATAATGGATTTTACCGATTATCTCGATATCTGACGTTATATAGTTGTTAGTCGACGCGAGGCTGCTCAGACGATCGCGATTGCGGTGTCGAAGAAGACGAGACATCTGTGTTATCGTCTCGACCGCGAATATTCCACCGACTTTCTTTCGCATCATTACCATGACGGAGAAGAAGGATAGAACGCAAAAGGTAAGCGCGCAGTCGGTTTAGACTATTGCTCGTTATCGAGTGAGTTACAGCGGTGAACGCAGTGCGGCGCGACGTGAGAAATTCGTTCCTCGCCGGACAATGGACTGTCAGATGTCGTGGACATAGATGGCCGTCCACTGGGACGTTCGATACCCGTGATACGGATATCCGACTAAAATTCTATTCGCTAACGTGTCTAGGTTGTGAAATCAACGGAAATAAGGTGCACGATACGCGTGTTTCGTCGCGAGCTTTTTCGGAAGGATCAAGTTTTACATATCCTGTTGTGAGAATGACTCGATGACAGACGTGAAATGAACGTCGTACGTTTCGAGAATCATTGGATTACTATGGGAAAATTAATAGCTATGCTTGAGGAAACAACGCCGTTTACTGGAAAGTACACGTAAGTTGGAGTTTTCGAAAGAGCAGAAGTTCGGACGACTCGTGGATTCGTGTTTGCGATGGAACCTTCGGTTTTCCTGGCCGTTAAGTAAACAGAGTTTCGCCTAGAAAATATTGTGCCGAAGTTCTCCGCGACGTAGTTTCGTTTAGTGGCGAGCGAAGGAAGGGATAGAGGGGATAGTCGAGTTCGCGTGCGTCTCGATGCGCCAACAAAACAATGAGATCGACCATGCGCGGAAAAGAACAGCGTTTCGTCGGATCTTATCTGTTGGTGGCTTACAGTGCGAGTAGATTAAACTACCGATGCTCGTGCCGTTAGACTTTACAGATAAATTCACTCGATTCGAGCGTTCTCCTAATCTCGTTACGTAAATACCTTGGGCGGTCCTGCGATGGCAGCACTTGCCCCTTCCCACTACCCGCATTACCTTTCACCCGAGTGTATTGTCTCTCACGTTTTCTTACCTTCCATTCGTTGTTTCGTGGACTAGCCTTTCTCGAACGACGAGTTCTTGATTCCATGCCTCGATATCCAAGCTTTTCTCAGTTGTAGATGTCCCTTTTTCTCTCCGCCCAACCTTGTCGTCCGTCGGTGATGATTTATATGATGCAAATATAACGTAACCCGTGTTATTGGCAGACGAAGAAGGTTTCTCTCGGAGTCGGCGGTACCTTGGTGGAGCTAGCGCAGAATCCCGAACGGGGTAGCTGGGCCAATCCCATCGAGTTTGTTCTATCCTGCATCGGGTATGCCGTTGGCATTGGCAATGTTTGGCGTTTCCCTTACCTTGTATATCGTAATGGCGGTGGTACGTATATGTCGTGACCGTGCGTAGCTGCGATTGTAGTGGATGTATACACGTACGTAGGCACGTGTATACGGTGGAGAGTGCGCACGACTTTTCCATACGAGAAAAACGTCTAGCCATGCTCGCTAAACAGACGGTCACGGGCTAGCAAACGAACTAGTGGATTACGCGGAATGATTTATTCTCGTGCACGGTCGTTTCGTAGAAAAAGGAGGAGTTGCAGAGGGAGCGAGAAAGGCGTAGAGAGTGGAAAGGGAGAAAGAGAAATGGATGAACAGACGCGTGACACTACGCGCACATGCGTGGTTGACGTGACGAAGCGACTAATTCGAATAATTAAGCGTAGTTTGGCAGCCCGTGACCGACCGTTCGGGAAATTTAATAAATCTTTCCTGGCTGCGTGTGCGGTTGTGCCTGTTGATACAGCCGCCTCTCTCTCATCGGGTTTATTTGCGAAATACCGAGAGATCGGGAGAGCGAAAGAGCGAGAGAAGGGGGAGGGAGAGTGGGGCGTCCGAGTATCCCGAACACTTGGCTTTTAATTATTCTATTTTACTTCCACTCTCGTCGTTTTGTTCTTTTCTGTTTACGTGGCTCCCAGCACTTCATTGTTCTCCGGTCGGCGCGGCGGCCTCTAATGAAAGACGACCAAAGAGAAAATGGTGGCCGGCCAGTTTTTAACCTTTTCGCTGTAACTCCGTGTTTCGTCGCGTTAATCAGAGCCAGAGGCCCGATAACTTTTAATTAGTATCCGTTCAAGCCGCGTGATAAGTCGATCCGATTTTTCTCCCATAGTTATTTAGGTCTTTCGTCATAGGCGAGCGTAAATGGGGCATTGATCGAGGCTAAGAATGGCCCTTGCAATCGGAAAGATAATTTTAAATGATACTTGCTGTGCTTATTTTTTTCTTTTTCAGTCTAGACATTTGCTGCTGAATTTATTAATCATTCTGGTAAACGATGATACGCGATAGTAATTGCAATTTAATTTTCATAGACACGTTGTGGGATCTAATTTTTCCGTGATAGATAGAATCATATGTAATTACACGTGACTTATTTTTGACTTTTGTAGTTTTGGATATTATCGAAGCGGTAATCAATTCTTTATCATTTTTAACACGAAAGAAGAATTTATTAGTTAGTATGATAAATGAGGGATATTGTAATTATTAGATGTGATTATAGGTATATTTATTTAAAAGATTTTGCTTTCGCTTTTTTACGAAGGATAGAATCAAATGTAATTATCCGTTATTTATTTTTAATTAGTGCGATTTTTGATATTATCAGAATGGTAGTCGATTGTTTATTACCTTCAACGTCAAAGAAGAATTTATTAATCAGCGTGTTACATATCGTATTTTAGAAGAGTTAGTATTTCTGTGATGGATAGAATTAAATGTAATCTTTCGAGACTTATATTTAATTTTTGCAATCTTTGTTATTAACTGTAATATGCTAGAGCTGTGATAAGATAAAAATAAATACCGCGTGTAGTATTTTACGATGTTAAATTACATTTTAATTCGATTCAGTCCCAATTTTAAGTTTAATTTTTAATTTTGCAATAATTTTAGTTAGGTATATTAGACAGTTTAATTAACATTATGATTTCAATTCTACTATTAACGAATTAAAGTGTTAGATATTTTAATAATAATGCATTGTATGCATTTCTGCTGATAATTCGTGTTTCAATATTGTGTCTATTTATTATTTTTATATAAATATTTTTTGGTGTTTAGTATTTAGGAAAGTATTAGAAAGTAGATTAAAATATAGATTACTCTATTTTTCTTTCCTCTATTTAAGTATGCGAATTAAATAATATTTTACTACTTTCATATTAAAATAACCAAATTTTAGTTTTGATCGTAAATTTCGATAATTGTTCAAATCTGTCAAAAGAGAAAATTAAGATTTTTATGACTACACTATAGAATTTTAAATATACTACGATATATGTATCCAGGAATATTTAACCTCTTATTTTATATGAAATAACATTCAATTAAAATAATATTTTTATTATAATAAATTGTTGGTGTAAATAATTATAATATACTATTAATTATCACAAACGTTATAAATTAGAAAAAGAAATAAATATTAACTTTAAATAATTCTTTCCGTATATTAAAATTTATGTCATTGATATACAATTCATAATAAAATATAGACTTGTTTATAAAAGGGTCATAAATACCTGAACACGTGTGCAAACATCTCGGCTAATGGCTTTAATTTGATTCTTGCGTCTTCCTAGTAAAGTCATTCTCATAATTAAAACATTTAAAATTGTACAAATTAACTATATAATTAATGTATTATTAAGATTATATATTACACATAATATTGTATATTATATATAATATTTTAGTGATATCGCTATATTAGTAGAATAATAATATTTAGCTATATTTATTAAGTTGGCAAGAAAGTACTTTCGGTTTTTTAGTGTGAAATAAAACTCAATTTTTTCTATACAGTAAATGAACTTTAATCGGTCAAATATCTTCCATTCTATTCGATGACTTTTTGCCATCTTTCTGGTAACTTCACGATCCCGCTCTCATAGAATTTCTGGTGCTTATCTGCAAAAAACTTAACCAAGTGCGTAAATCTCAGAAGGTCGACCAGAACGTTGTGGGTACCTTTCAGTGAAAAATCTTCAGAAAGAAATTTTTTAAACTAATTCTGACACGTGCGTTCTGTTAAACAATCAACGCCATAAACTTCTCGTATCTCTTTGCGAGCCTCAGTCGCATTCTTGCCTTAATGAAAATAAGAAAGTAAAATGTGTCGAAAATGCTTATTTTTGCACTCCATGTTAAGACTGACCGTGAACTGACAGTTATAAACGAAATTACACGGAATTTCACGAAATAGCAACCTAAAGGTATCGACTACCACATCTTAAAAGAAAAAAATTCTAACATTGACAAAAGAATAACTAAACAAGCCTAACATTATTTACTGATGCAAACCGAAATTACTTTCTTGCCAACCCAATAGCAATATTACTATATTACTCATACAGTGATATTACTAAATCATTATATGTACACGTGTGCACGCAATATTATATATTGCGTATTGCATAATAAACAATTTCGATTATACATTAACTATATAAATATAATAATATTCTAAATGTTTGAAAATACTAAAGTGTCAATAAAAATCGAAAAGAACAAAATAGGAGCCTAATTACACGAATAATATTTATCTTTCTATTTAACAAACTAATTGTTCTCTCACCTCCCCTTCTCTTACCTTGTTTACGAACTCGTTAGTCTCTTTACTAGAGACGAACAGTAACGTATATCGTAGCGTATATCATTACTCTGTTTTCCAGGTGCCTTTTTAATTCCATTCATTTTAATGCTGATAACCATGGGATTACCAATATTCTTTTTGGAACTCGCGATCGGACAGTATTCCGGACTTGGCCCTAACGAGGCGTTCACACGTATGGCGCCGGCACTCGAAGGCCTCGGTTATTGCACCCTCGTCGTCATTTTGCTCGTAATGGTGTACTACATGGTGATCGTAGCCTGGACACTCTTCTACACGTTCGTCTCGTTCGTGCCGAAGCTCAGTTGGGCCTACTGTGACAACGATTTCAACACGAACAGTAAGTACCCTGATAAAACAACAAACGACGTTGCTCACCCCGTTGTAAATTTTAGAAAACGCACTTCCACCCACGGCCGATGGGTTCAACTTGTTATTTAGTGTAACGTAGCGTAACCGCGCCACACGCGTATTTTATCGCTGCCATAAAGCTCGAAGAGGTCGTAGAACCGTTTTAAACGATCGAATGACGAACGGCTCGTTTCTTCGAAATTCAATTTCTCCACTCTGTAGAACGGAAACGTATAACGTGGAGAAAATATTCTTCACTTGATACCGTTACGTGTTCTCTGTTCAGTCCTTCGTCATTCATTGTGTTCTTCCCGATTTATGGCTACACATGCTTTTGTTTTTATGTCCGCTTGCATAGCTCGCTTATGTCGATGGACGAATAGCTTATAATTTCTGTAAGGTGTGAATCTAGGAGCCTTGTTCGAGTCCAGAGTCAATTGTACAAAAATGTATATTTTAGACCATTTTTTAAATTATATTTCTAAAATTTGTTATTTAAGTTTTAATACGTTTGTTTCATATTACGGATTAGATAATTGAATTTATATTTGCTGTTTATATATAATATCCGATTTTAATCTATAAATGAAAATTGCTTAAATTGTTTGCTACATGAAAAATGTTTTTCGTAAGAATTGTATGGATTCGAGAGAGCCATAAGATGATATGATTAGCTTTGTAAGTAGACGCGAAGAGAATATATAATTAACTTTCTTTTTTTAAATAAAATAGTACAATTTTCAATGAAATTTTTTAATAATTTTTAAAAGTTTTTCAATAAAATAGTATAATTTTTTGTTCATCATTGTTAACGAGAAAGCACTGAACGATTTATGTAAAAGAATTATTGGTTTATGAGATATTTAATTGCAAATATTGACATTCGCAATTTTTTTAAATTGGAAAGGACAATATATAGTGCTATTTTATATATTTTATTGAAGAATTTGTGAACTACGTAGAATCATAAAACTATAATAATTAATAGACTTCAAAGATATTGTCTTCATTCTTATGATTTTGAGTTCAATATCTCATAAATTAATAATTATTTGATATAAGTGATCTAATACTTTTCCGTTAAAAATATAGAGTTGAATCAATCAATGCTGTATTAAAAATTATGACTGCGATTAAAGAAATATACTTGGAATATACTCTATATATTTTTGGAAATATACTACGAAATATACTTTATATATTTTTTACGCGTTTACTTTCAATAAAAGTAATTATATCATCTTATGCTGTTCCTGTGACGATTCAATTTCCGTTGAAAATATTTTTCATACAACCAAAAATTACCGAGTAATTTTCATTTATAAATGACAAAAATGCATATTAGATATCCTTTATACTATCAAGAATCAGAATAATTGCAGTAGATTGAATATTTTATTTTATAAAAAGATGATAATGTAGCATAACGTTATTAGATTCTATTACTTTTGAGTAAGATGGATTGTTCTCATAATCCCTCTCTGAATTCTCTCTTGATCATTACACGTGAATTTTATTTAATTGACTCGAATGAAATTAATAAAATTTTAAATAATGATATTTTTCTGTTTTTGCTTTTCGTGTTTCACCTTGTTATTTAAAATTATATCGATTACTTGCGTAATTTGCATATATTTAGAAGGGTGATTTGATAAGTGATTTTCACATATCCTACCCCTATTCTTAAGTCTACTACTTGCGTGATCGCGTCTTGTTAAATCGTGTCGTGGAAATTATCTTCGATCAATGTCAGGTGCGTAGCTAGGAGACATTTTCGTGTATTATTCCAATTGTAGCGTCCTACGGTATCGAATCTCTTCGATTTCCAAGAACGCTTATCACGCGCCAAATTAATATTGCGTGACTAGTTGTGATAATAAGGATCCAGAATGTGTGTGGTCAAAAGAGAGTGTTTATTTACAGAAAAGCGTAGAATAGTTATAATGTAGACGTTAATGGAGTACCGTTTCGAACACGCATGTTGCATGTGTAAGTTAGATGTTTGAAGGATCGGTGCCGAAGACGAACTGACTTCTCGATTTTGCTCTATGTCCTATCTCGTCGTGTTCGGTCCGGTGTTTTCTCTAGTTTAGTTCTGATTGGGAAAATAGATGTTGGTGGTGGAAAGGTAAAGAGTTTTAAGTGGACAGAGGGTGTGACATAAGGACCTTTGGCTAAGGAGTAGGAAACTGTCAAGGAGCCGATTTCTAATGGTCAATGACGTGATTTATAAGTGTCGTCCGTCCGTCGCTTGTTGGGTCTGTCACAAGTGTCCAGTTTTGTTTTACTAGTACCATCTGTCGCGTCTGGTACTAGTAAAATTCCTAATTTTGCTTTACCTTTATAAGCTTAATCCGCTAGAACGGCGTTGAGGCACATCGAACCTCCGGAATTGCAGTTGCATTATAAAATACAAAATAAACCGTTAGGTCTGTTAAAAGTGTAAGCCTTAATTATAAAATCATATTCTAAATACGCTCTCCGGGACGGAACACCAATTGTGTATATTTTCTTGTTTTAAAAGATATACAGGTTATAATAACTGCAAACACTAAAATAGAAAAGAACTTCACATAAACGTACGTTTGATATGACATTATTTTTGAGTTATGATTATCTATTTTGCGTATAGATAGGAAGATAGGATTTGGGTATTGGTTTTCTGTTTTTCCGTATGATTTGTAAGTCATGAGATCAGACGAATTTGTAGACACTGATAAATCAGAATGGAGCTGTTTGTATTTATTTATTTATTTATTACACTATCCATACAATGATGTTTTTGTTAGTGGAAGAAATATCAGTAACAATAAGAACAATTTTTTATTTAATTACAAAATGTGATTAAACACGAGTATTAAGCATAAATCTAATTAATTTCTCGCAATCCCATGCTCACACATATTTTCACTATTACGACTCAATTACAACTGACCTATGCCCAATCTCTCTGGTTTGTTCTTTCTACTTTCATACATTACATGAACATACACAATTGACACAACATCTCGATCATTACACGCATACTCATTTATCACGATAACCTGAATCCATTAGATATTGGCATTCCATGCATACTTGTTCCAATCGTCCCTTTCTTACAAACATCGCTCCTTTATTATATCAACACATATATATTCAAAATCTATGTTAACCATTACCACCGTTTTTGGACATAATGATTTTAATACACAATTGCATATTGTTAGTAGTAATGATTATTGTTAGTGGATAGGATAGAAGTTCGATTAATAGTTAATTAATCAAAGTTGGAGAGAAAATAACTAAAAATATATTTTTTTATATAAAATATTTTATTATTTTGTTGTGAATTCGATATATGATCATAATCGAAACCACTATTAATTGGAAAGTGGAAAGTTACAATATGATGTTGATGCATCTTTTGCTAGTATGGCTGTCTTATGGCGATTTTCTATTTAATCACCAACTTCCAGTAGTGTTATCAATGTTCGTATTTCTATTAAATATACTATAAATATTGTACATATCATTGAATTATTGTCTAACTTTACTGATACAATCCTAGAACTTTCTTCTTATATATATGTATATATATATGGTATACATATGAATCGTTCACTGCATAAATTAACTCCATAAAACAAAAAGTGGAGAAATGCAATGAAATAATGTATATTGTTTTTTAAAATTCCCTTTATAATTTGAATCGAAATAAATACTGTAGACTTCATAAATACAAATGTAATTTTCATCTAACGGAATATAAAATTGATAAGAAAAAATAGCCGAAAGGTAATCGTTAGAAATATTACCATTTTTATGTTACTGGAAGATTTAATCGATTTGACAAGTGAAAAAAGTAATAAATTTAAATTTTACTAAATTTTACTTAAATTCTGATAAGACGGCACTAAAAAATTCACCGTTATCATTCATGACTTGCTAGTGCATTTGAGTTGCATTATTGCAACGATTTACATTAGAGTACGGAGTTAATCAAAGTGACCTCTGAAATAAATTATTTATTATTCAGTGGCCAACAAATTTTTGTCGTTTAATGGTGTTAATCTTAATTATCAGGGAAAGTTATTATAAATATAAAAAGTTATGACTATACCAAGCGCTTTGACATTTAATGATTTGTGCAGTGAACGGCTCATATATCATATCGTTTTGCACACCTTGATTTAATATTTATATTTCATTCTTTAAGCATAGTAAATTATGTAAATATTCAAATAGTTTTGTATACGAGTGTTTCTCAAAAATAAAGATTATGTGAGAAGATAATATTTTATACATCGATATATTACAAGTATCTTTTCAAATATATTTCTCTAAAGGGCATAATTAATATTGTTATTACACAGGATATTGTAATGGAAGTCAGAAAATACGTTTTGTTTAAATTATATAAGTAATTTTACGAAAAATAACATATAGATATAATTAATTTTGAATTTTATATTATTTATATGATACGTTATAATATATGATACAAGTTGTGTATACATGTACATAGTTGTGAGATATACTTAATCAGGTTTTTCAAATTACATTTTTCTAATTTTTTCTATTAAATTCTGTTCAATTCGTAAATTAAATTTCCAGTTAACGTTCTAACAATTTTACAGATTTTTAAATTTTACTTGGCCACTTGTATATATAGACATTTTGTTGAATTAGAAACATTTTGGCTATTTGATGCTTAAAATTATTATGATATTAAAGTTACTATGCTGTACGAATCTTTTCTCTAATAAGTGACATCGTATAGTTTTACTATGTTTCATAATTTTTCGTTTAAATTCAAGTTATATTTTTTATGTATCTCAACGTACAAAATTATTTTGCATATATTTACACACGAATGTTTTTAAATAATTATTTTATTTCTTAACTTTTGTCTACAGATATATATTCGTGGAAATATTGCAAATTATGATATAAAACATTTTTTTATGATTTAATATCAGGAATAATTTTATACATATATAAATAATC